AGCCGCCCCGAGGCTTCGGCAAGGGGCGGCTCACAACATTGAATAAAATACACAATAAATTAAAACAGTAACAATTAAAATATATACAGTAGAATAAAATAAAATAAATTGTGTTTTATTGTACACAATTGTATCTTATTGTGTTGTAAGCCGCCCCGAGGCTTCGGCAAGGGGCGGCATAGAAATGTTATAATAATAATAATAATAAGTCAGAAATGACTTGATGGCACATAACAACAACATATTTATATATGATCTAAAATCTCTCTCTCTGCCTTTCAAAGACCATTTTACTTGTAAAAAGGGATATCTGGGCAGAGGGGAGGGTGGCGTTTGATTTCAGAAGGAAACCTCAGGCAGAAGGGCTTGTGCAGGGGGTCTGTGCACGCAGCAGGAAGTGAACAACTCCAGCTCTTTGGGGAGGGATTTGGTGCAGCAGAACTGGGGCACAGTGGGACAGGTGGCCCCACAGAGATCTGGGGCATCAAAGGAAAGATTCAGGGCTCAGTCCTAGTTTGCCTCTCTCTGACACAACCTCTGCATGTCCTAAGAACAGCCCTGCTGGATCAGGCCCAAGGCCCATCCAGTCCAGCGCTCCTTTTACATCATAGCAAACCCGCTGCCCACAGGATCCCTCCAGCAGGATGCGTGCAAGACCTTCTGCCGAAGCTCCTCGGAAACTGGTGTACACAGATAAGCCACCGCTGTAGCAGAGGCAGCACATGGCCAGCAAGGCTAGAAGCCGCCGCCTCCTGCAGGAATTTGTCCCATCATAGGATGGTCGAGTTGGAAGGGGCCGAAAGGCCATTGGGACCGACCTGGTGCTCGGTGCAGGACTCCCAGTTAAACCATTCCTTTGAGAGCTCTCCAAACGGGTGGCCATCACTGCTTCCCGTGGCACTGAATTCCAGAGTTTAATTACACGATTATTTATTTCGATATTCTACCCCAATAGTCCAGAGGGCTACTGTCGTTGTGCAAAGGACGTCCTTTGAGCTGTCCTGAATCCCGTGGCCCTCAGCTCCCACCCGTGGGACCACCCCACCGGGTTCTAATTCGATGGGAGATGGAGAAAAACATTCTCCACATTGCACATTATTCCGAACACCTCCAACATTTCTCCCCGGCCCGATTTCTTTTTATTTATTTATTAAAACATTTCTATGCCGCCCCTTGCCGAAGCCTCGGGGCGGCTCACAACACAAAATAAAATACAATAAAATACAAAAATAACAATATAAAATTAACAATATAAAATAAATAACAATATAAAAGAAGTCGCCCTGGCCAGGTAAATAAGCAAATATTGTTAACAATTAAAATGACCCTTAAATAAAAAGGTCTTTGCCTGGCGCCGAAAAACAAATAACGACGGCGCCAGGTGGACCTCTCTGGGGAGCGCATTCCATAGATTGGGCGCCACCGCAGAGAAAGCCCTCCTCCGAGTACCTACCCTCCTAATTTCTTTCACGGAGGGTTCTAAGCTAAGCCATCCCAGCTGTTGAAGCTGTTCCTCCCAGGAGAGCTGCTGCAGCCCTTTCGTCATGTTCGTTGCCCTTCTCTGCACTTTCCCCAACTCTGCAGTGCCCTTTCTCAGGGGTGGCACCAGGTGCTCCAGAGATGTATATACACAGAAGCACAGAAACAGAGTGAGCCAGAAGGGGTCTCCCGGGCCATCTAGTCTGACCCCCGGCACCAGCCGGCTCCGCTCACGACATGCCCACCACGTGCGCGTCCAGCCTGTCCTTGAACACCCGCACCGAGGGGGCCTCAGCCCCCTCCCGTGGCTGCACGATCCCAATTAAGGGCTCCATCGCGAAGATGCGCGAGCGTCTTTCCGCCCGGCGGCAAGAGATCTGCCTCGAGGCCGCTCGCAGAGCGTTTGGCGCACTTTGCTCGCGCTCTCTGCTGCCGCCCAGAGGCCCGTTGACACCCCGTCGGCCTGAGATGCCCGAGCGTGACCCTTCCCAGCATCTCAAATAGGGCCTTTTGTAGGGATGCCGTGCGCGCGCATCCCGAGACCCCCGGCTTCCTAAGCATCCCTTCATTTCCCATCGCAGGTGTCCTTCCCTTCCCGGTGCCCTTCAGCGGGCAGTGCCTGCTGGGGATGCTGGGAGGAGTAGTCCAACCCTTCCGGGGAAGGCCGGTGAGGCGCGGGTGGAATGCTTCAGTTTGGGATGCTGAGGGTGGGGGGCCGCTTCCTCGGATCTCATAGCTTCCGCTGGACTCTGCAAGAGCACGGGTTGCTTCTCCAGGGCTGTCCTGAGTTTTTCAGCAGGAAAAAAATAACCAAACTTGTCCCAGCCGGTGGGCCCATCTTGGGTAGAATGTTATTCTCTCCCCCACCGCGAAGAATCCCGCGACCACCCTGGCGCCCTCCAGATGCGCTGGCTTGCGCCTCCCATCCTGCTGGCTGGGGATAATGCGAGTTGCAATCCCAAACACAGCCGGAGGGCGCCCGGTTGCAAGAGCATGGCTTCGCTCTCGCTCCCAGTGGCCGTGGGTGTCGCGATTAAAATTGCTGCTCGCGTCGTGGTTCCCCTGCGCTTTCTAGGAGCCAAGATTTGCTTGCGAGAAAACGTGCTCCGTGAATGAACAGCGAAGGAAAAGCCGAAACCTGTCGCTGGGCGCGAGCGAGCGAGCTCCCCTTCCCCTCAGTAACAAGGAATTGTAACGTCGGTCTGTATTTTATTGTTGTCCACCACTTAGGAAGCTCTGTCGGGTTATTCAGCGGCCTAAACATTTATAAATGGAAAGGAATTAAGAGTTCACCGATTTGCATTATGTTCGCCTGTGCTGACTCTTACGTCCAGCTGCAAAATCAGGACGCACTTCTTCAACCCAGTGCCCCGCCGAACCATGGCATTTCCTTCCAGGAGACGCCGCGATGGCCACTCATTTGGATGACGTCGTGCGGCGATGGGCGAACTCATGCGGAAGCAGGCCAGTGGGGCTACTACGAGTCCTGATGGCGATTGCTGCTGCCATGATGGCAGGCGGGCTGCCTACATGCACCAGCTGCCGGCGCTCACGGGCGGGACGGGGCTGTTCCACACCCGTCCGACCGGCTCCGTCCCAGCCTTGGGGCGCTGCTGACGTTCCGCGCTTTTAAGAGCGGGTTGGGAAGCGCCTGGGAGGGGAGACGGCGCTCGGGGGCTACCCGCCCGGGGGGCTCTGTGCTGCCCCCCGGAGCATAGGCTGGCATGCCCCTCTTGCTGCAGAACGTGCGCCTCTGGGCTCCGCGCTGGGGCAGGGCGCTGGGCGCGGTGGAAACAGCGCTAGCCCGGCCGGCCGGCCGGCCCGAGACGCGACTACAACGCCCAGCGTGCCCCGCGCCGTCCAGCTTCCTCTCCGTGCTGCCCGCGTGACACCTCCTTCCTCCTCCAGCAGCAGGCGCCGCCGCGACTACACTGCCCAGGATGCCTAGCGGCCGGGCGAGCGCCCGCCCAGGTGCGGCCCGGCGGCGCGAGGCCTGCTGGGAGACGTAGTGCCGGCGCGCTAACGGTTCGCTGAGGCGGCGCTGGCGGCGGCGGCGGCGCGGCGTCCCCTGCGCGGCTCGCCCGCGTCCGGCGCCTCCCCCGCCGCCACGCACGGGCGCGCGCGCGCGATCACGCCGCTCCGGGTCCTCCCTCCCTCCCTCCTCCTCCTCCTGCAGCTCCCCTCAGCGGCCTGTTCCCTCCCGTTGGCGGCTGCTGCGGCTGGAGCGAGCGAGCGAGCGAGCGACGAGCCAGCCAGCCAGCCAGCGAGCGAGCGAGCGAGCGAGCGGCTGAGGGAGGCTGGAGCCGAGGCGGGCAGACCGAGCCGCCGCCGCCGCCGCGTCCTCCTCGGCAGCCCGGGACGCCGCCGCCGCCCGCAGGTGGGAGAGACCCCCGCCCGCGCCGCCGCCTCAGCGCCCCCGCTGGGGTGGGGGAGGGGCCCGCGCCCGAAGCGGGGAGGGGGCCCGGGGGGTCGTCGAGGGCACGAGGCGGCGCGGGGCCGCCCCCCGGCCCGGCCAGGCCCCCTGGGGTGGGAGCGCCGGGGGCCGGCGGGGAGCGAGGCTGGGGGGGCGCGGGGAGGGGGCGACAGGGAGCTCTGGCGCGGCGCGCTGCCGCGGCTGCGTGTGAGGGGCGACCTGCGGGGGGGGGGCGGCCGGCCGGCCGGGGGCGCGCGTCTTTGCGGGGGGCCGCGCGCGGGCTCGCTGCACACGCGCGCGCGCCTGCAGAGGTGAGTCCCTTGGAGTATGTTGCGGAGGCTGCGGGCCAGGGGCTGCTGGCGGGGGGGCGGCCGGGGGCCCTGGGGGGCCGTGGGGTGCGGGAGCGAGCTTTGCTCGGCGCCCCCGGGAGGCAGCCTGGGAGGCTGAGGTCCGGGAGCCCCCGGCGCCGTCCCCCTTCGGCGGAGCAGCAGCGCGCAGGGCGACCTTGAGCCCCACCAGCCTTCTGCGGACCTGCCTCTCGGGGTTGTTGTGAGGATCAGATGCGGGTGAGCTGGGCACATGCGGCACAGGGAACTGGCCGCTCTCCAGATCTTCCTCATCGCCTTCATCTGCTTCTCCAGTGCCCAGTGGCTGAAGTTCTCTGGGCTCCCCCATTGGCTGTGCTGAGGGAGGTGGTGGGAGCTGCAAAATCTGGAACAGCTGGAGGGCAGCAGGTTCCGTTTCCCAAAGTCCTTCACCGAACGGAGACGTCGAAAGAGCCCTGAGCTCCGTGGAGGCTTAGGATTTGGTTATTGGAGGAATGGGAATAGGCTTTCTTGGAAGGAGGAGCTTCGAGGCGTTTATTACAGAGCACCTGTTTTAGTCTCACACCGCTTTGTTGGAGAGACGGTTTTGACATAGGACTCCGGTTTTAGTAGGTGCCCTGGTAGGGCCAGGACACTGAAGAGAGTAAACAAGATTGGGAGTTACTTATTTTATTTAACAAGTTTTATATGCCATTTGCAGCTCACGAGCTTTCTAAAAGGTTTACAACATAAAAACCATGGGGTCGCCCATGCCCTGGTGCTGCAGGACAGATTGGTGCAAGCTTTGGGGTAGAGGAGAATAGTAGAATTTGGGAGCGCAGGTTATAAATGCAGAGGTGGCACAGACACTGAGCCTGCAGCGGAAGCAACCTGCATATGTTATCCATATGGGCTTGGAGGCGGATCGCACAGGACAGAACAGGTTGGCACAAGTCAGTAGCATATGGGAATGGTGCAGGGCGCCTTTCGGGGTGAAGATTTCTGGGGTTGACAAGCACAAGCAAGCTGCATGGCAGAGCTGATGAATTTTTCATAGCACTTCTCAGGAAGAAGCCTTGGAAAGGTCTTGTCTACACGGCATGGGGCATGGTGGACTACAACTCCCACAAGCGCTGGTTAAAAACATCTGGGGCACCCTTGGTTGTTTACCCTGGTATAAGGGATGCTGATAGGGAGTGGAGATGGCATGTTTGCCCCTGGGCTGATATGAGAGAGAATGAAAGCTGATGTCACAAATGGCAGTGGTCCTTTGTATTGACTGTCTTAATTAAGCGGTTGCTAACGGGCTTGCCAAGAGGCAAGCGAAGTGTGGTGTTTGGGGTTTCTGGTATTGCCACTACTCAGGCAGATGCCAGGAATGACAACTTGCAAGAACATTTGGTGGGCAGGAGCTGGGGTGGAATATTTTAGTTTGTTTAATATGTGGAACTTTCTCCCAGTGAGAACCTGCCAGATTGCAGGGAAGAGCGTTTCAGAAGGAGATTGGGTAGAGTGGCAGTGATGAAGATGATGGCAAAAGTCATTCAGGCCAGGAACGATGAAAACACGACTGTGACTGTGAAAACAAGTGGCCGTAAAGACAGGGCAGAGACAGCTGCGTGAACAGTGGAAGTGACGGCTCTCATAAAATAGCCATTGCAGTGAGATTCTGTACATGCCTGCCTGCACCTAAGTCTTTAAGAGAGTGGGACTTACTCTCGGGTAATTATGCATAGGCTTGCAGCTGAGCGTCTGCAACAGACTTTGTTTGAAAAGATGATACCGTTGAACTGCCACGTTCCATGCAGGATATTGGCACGGGGCAGATGCTGAGAGGAGGACTCCTGAGGGCGGTCGGCTGGTGAGGAGGGGCTCTGACACATAAGTGCTGAGCCACCTTGTGCAGGGAACTGCATCTCCCAAGAGCATGTGGACGGTAAGGCAGTGCTCCCCCCCCCCATGCAAGAACAGGTGTATGCTCACAAGTGTTTCCTTACAATCACTGTGATTTTGACTTTGGGATGGCAGTTCTCAAAAAACTTTGACGCTTCATCTGTGGTTTGCATGGGGAAGCCCTGGGGCTATGCAGGGGGATTATTAGAGGAGGTGCAGAATGCGTCTGTTCTCTCAGATGCTACTTTTCTTCTGTAAGCTGCTTCGGATGTGTTGTAGAGGCAGGGAATGTGGCACATCGAGTACAATAGTGTCAGGATGTTCTCGCAAAACGTAGCCAAGCCTGCCGTGCTTGAATATTCTGGATGAATACAAATGCTGTGGCATTGTGTAACTTTAGGTGGTGGGGAAGAAGCCGCTTCCCGTCTTGTTGGTGGAACCCAGGTTTTAAGATGACTTGGATTTAATGTGATTGAGGATGTCATCACATAACATCTGTAGCCTGAAAGCAGATATATTGCAATGCTAAGAAGTGTTCAGCTGCATTAATTTTCTATCATGAATACAGATTGGAGTGGGGATAAAGAATTGTTTTCCTGTTGAAAAAGATTGCTTTAAGAGTTCATTTATCGGGACTGTAATAATCAGGACAATTAAATCTATCATTACATTGTGGATTAAGAGTGTCAGGGTGAAACTAGTTCTGTATTCTGTGTAAACAGAGGAGTCATGAAATATGGCAGTATAATAACTGTTCATTGTTGAAAGCTTTTTTTAAAAAAATTGCACCAGCTGATTGTTTTTTCTTCTCCTTGTCTGTTTGGTGATAAGCATTCAGGTTATAGCTTGTATTTCCTGTTGATTGAATTTCATCCAGAAGGAATTCAGTTTGTGCTGGAAACTGTCAAATGGTGGGGGGTTGGGGGGGAAGCGGGTTGAATTTTTCTTCTTCTCGCTTCTTTTCTTCAGACAAAGACGTGTTGTGTTAACCAGAGAAGAAAAAGCAATGGATTCCCTTTATGTTTCAATCAAAATATGAATTCAAATGCAGTGAAGCTTTCTTGCTGCAAAGTTGTGATGGAGAAAGGCTGGGCATTTTTCAAGGAATGCAGATGATGGAAGCATTTTGGGGAAAATGTTTTGCTGGGCTTGATTGAATCAGTGTCATTTGGTGAAATGCTAACTGAAGTGGCTGCTGATTAAAGCACAGTCTGCATAGAGGCAGAGGGGAGTATAATGAGAGACAGGGCACATCCTGAAGACTTAAAGCTGTTCTACCACTGAAACAAACCAAACCCATTTTAATGTTTTACTTGTGGCCCTTTTGAAAGATCTGCCTGACTTACTGAATTGCCAATATTATCTTCTTGCTGGTATTGAGGTGTGTGTTTCAGTTACTGACAATATTTATAATAAAATTACTTTTTGGCCTGGTTTGCACAAAACATGGTTTGTTTAAACCGTGGGCTGCTGTGCACGAGACGCAGCCTAGTTCCATTTTTAACCAGCAACCTATGATCAGCCCATTTGTAGTGTGTGATGTAATGTGCGAATCTGGAATGCTAGGCTGAGTACCCTGCATATACTCTTAAACAACCCAGCATGGTGAGATTGCATGTCATGCTCAACAGCCTATGAATGAACTTCTTATAGGTCGCCTATAGGAGAAGTGTCGGGTGTGCGGAAGGAGTAAGAGCGTAAGAAAAGACACGATAGATCAGACCTGTAGGCCATCCAGCCCAGCAGCCAGGTCACATGGAGGCAGCCCAGCTGCCCACAGAATCCCTGTACAGGATGGGTGCGGCAGTCCGCTCCTTCTCAAGTTCCCCAGAAACTGGTGTATGCAGACCAGTAACATTGATAGCCCTTTCCTCCATGAATTCGTCCAGTTCCCTTTTAAAACCATCCAGCTTCCTGCAGCAGTGGATTTCATAGTTTAACTCTGTGCTGTGAACCTTCCCACTGTCCTGTGTCTTCCGTTGGCTTCATGGGATGACCCCAGGTTCTAGTATTATGGGAAAAAGGGAAAATGCCCCCCTCCCCACTTCTGCACATCACATATAACTTAGAACACGTTTGTCATGTCTCCCTTTACTCACGTTTTGTCTAAGCTTAGCAGTCGTATTTGTAATACCTGTTTCTCACAGGGTTTGATAATTTTAGTTGCTCTTCTCTGCACTTTTTCCAGAATAGTAATGTCCTTTTTCAGGCGCATACATGAGAACTGTAAAAAATATTCTAAGCACACTCACACCAAAGATTTGAATAAGGAGAGTACAATCTTGGTAATTTTATCTTCAGTGTCCTTTCTCCCAGCTTGGTTGATTATTTTGGAGCTCCTCACAATCTCTCTCGGCTTTGATCACCCTAAATAGTTTGGTGTCATCAGCAAACCAGGTCATTTCACTGCTTCCTCCTAATTGCAGTTTATCTGTGAATAGTATGAAAATCACTGGTTCGAATACGAAACTCTGTGGGACCCAACTGTTTAGATCGCTCCATTGGCAGAGTAGGATAGCTCCTACTCTTTGCCTTCTGTTCTGCAACAACTTAAGTGATTCATAAGAGCCCCTGCCCCTATTTTTCATGACTGTTAAGTTCGCTACAGAGAGTTTTGTGAGGCTTTCTCAAAAGACTTTTGGAAATCCAAGTAAATGATATCTCCCCAATGACCCCATCCACCTGTGTATTGATACATTCAAAGAACTCTAATAGGTTAGTGAGACAGAATTTACCTTTGTGGAAGCCATACTGATTCTTTTTCAG